TGCAGTGGCTGCTCTCCCACAGGCCTGTACCACAAGAAAACTTTCTCAGGAATTGCACACTGCTCCAGTCTCTCTTGTGAACACATGGTAAAGTGAACGGAGAAGAGCCTACAGATAATTGTGAAGACTTGTGGCTCTCAATTTCTGTATTCTCATGCTGGCCTACATTTGGCCTTTAGCAATTCCGTAAAACTGGGTGCTGAATTCTTACCAGCTTGATGGTGTCCAGGAGTGGAGTCAGCCCCAAATAAGTAAGTAAGTGCACCTGAGCTATACCTTGGAGGTGCCTGTCTTTCCTAAAATTAAGATTAATTAGGTTGCCTTGGAACCTCAGCTCTCTAATAAATTTCAAAAAGTTAAGGATTTTCAGACTGTCTTGTGATTTTTTGGTTGTAATAGTGGAAGCAATGCTGTTTCCAGGTTCACTTTGTCCTAAGCAGAATCCAAAAGCTCCTGAGAAACCTGTTTTGTAATTAAACCTGTTACGTGTACTTGAATGCAATTCTTAACTTTGAATACAAGTACCAACTTCACTCATTACTCAAAAATAAATACTAAATGGATCAAAGGTGTAATCTTTAAAAAAATGAAACCATGAGTACCTGAAGAATTGTGAAGAACTCCTTTATAACTTCAGAGAAGGAACCCTTTCTAAGTTTTTTTTAAAACACAGAAGCCATAAAACAAAAGACTAATAATAAGGCTAATGAATTTGACTACATAAAATGCAAAATTTTCTGCATGGCAAAAAATCATCATTAACATCAAATAACAAAAAAATATTGGCAGAGGGTGGATATCAAGATGGTGAAATAGAAGGACATGGAGCTCATCTCCTCCCACAAATACATCAAAAATACATCTACATGTGGCACAGTCTTCACAGAATACCTACTGAATGCTGGCAGAAGATCTCATACAACCAAAGCTGCAAGTAAGACCACAATGTAACCAAGTGGGATGAAAGGAAAGGGGGAAAAAAAGGTATCGGTATGGGATCTGCATCCCTGGGAGGGAGCAGTGAGAGGGGAAAGGTTGCCTAATCTGGGAACCCCCTTCACTGGCTGGGAGATCATCTGGGACAAATAGGGAGCTTCAGAGGTTCAGAGGAGAGTGCAGCAGCCAGCTTGTGGCAGTTAGAATAGTAAGGGACCAGCACACGTGGTCCTGATCACGTCACTGCACACCCCAGCCTAAGATGGGCGTCTACTGGTGCACATGGGGGCTGAAGCCCAGGTTTCAGCAGACAGACCCAGGGAGAGGACGGTGGCTGGCTGTGGGGAGATGCACAAAGGGACTGGAGTGTGGCCCAGGCCACACTGCAGCTGGGGGTGTGCACAGGACAGAGCCCAGGTCCACCATAGAATCCCCATTGTTAATCGGCATGCAAAAGGAGAGGCAGGATCCCCACCATAGCAGCCTCATTCTCAGCATGCTCACAGTGGGTGCAGCTCTGCCTCTACGCAAGTACTGGCAGGTTGCCCAGACACAGGAAATCTGAGCCAGTTCCCAGTGGCCACGCAACCTCGGATGTGGGGCTGAAATCTGACCTGATTCCCAGTGGCTTCGGTGAATTTGCGCTGCCAGTGGTTTTGTAAGCAAACAGCTGCAGGACATCTGAGCAGATTACTGGTGCTCTCTTGGCTGGGGTAGGTCTAGCATTAACAGCAGCAGGATTTGTGGGTGCGGCACATGAAGGTGGGGCTGGGGTCTGGGCTGATTCCTGTAGTTCCCACAGTGGGTCAGGTGGACAACTATAAGTGAGTCCGGGTCCCCTACTACAGTGGCTCTTTGTGAGCTCAGTGCCTAAGGGACATCCAGGTGAGCATTCTCATAGCTGAGGTGGGTCTAAGGGCAGTGCCAACAACAGTGTCCTTTGTGAGCCCGAACAACATCTGACAGGCAACACCACAGAATATATGTATATATAGCTGAATCACTTTGCTGTACACCAGAAACTAATACAATATAGTAAATCAACTGTATTTCAGTTTTTTTAAATATCTGCAATACATACAAAGGGCTAATTTTCTTAATATTAAAAAGCACTTGTAAATCAAAGATGAAGATCAATCATCAGTGGGCAAAGAATAAGAACAAATAATTAACAGAAAAGGAAATAAAGATACAAAAAGTGCTTAGCTGGTGGGGGGAGGGTATAGCTCAGTGGCAGTGTGTGTGCTTAACATGCATGAGGTCCCGAGTTCAACCCCCAGTACCTCCATTACAAGTAAGTAAACCTGATTACTTCCCCCTAAAAAATTTTTTTAAAACAAAAAATTATTAAAGAAAAACAAAGGAGGAGCAATCAAAAGGTGCTTAGCCTACCTTAAGACAAATTTATCAAACAGATTTATAAAACAGATTTGTTCTGCATCTGTTGATAAGCTTCTCTCCTACCTGGAACACACTCCTTCGCCCACAGCCTGCACTTACAGATTCAACTCCAGTGTCACTCTATCCAGAATCACTTCTTGGGTTGACAAAGATAAACATTTGATAACATTGAATCAACAAGTATGGAAAGAGAGACACCCTTACACAGTTTTGGTGAGGGTACAAATCCATACAATTAGTGGGACAATTTGGCAACATCAACATTTAAAATACTTTTCAAACCCCTTCATCCATCAATTCAACTCTTAGGAGTTCCTCCTACCTAAATACTCATAACTGTGTACAATGACATATACATGAGTTTCATGTCAGCATTATTATTCAGAGAAAAAAACTGTAAATAACTAAATAGCCATGAAAGTAGAATTAAAGATAAATTGTGTTGTAGTTCTAGCAAAGAAGACTGTAGACAAACATATGATGTTGCTTTTATGTGGAATCTAAAAAAAAAAAAAACACAAATTTTATTTACAAACCAGAAATAGACTCCTGGACGTAGAAAACAAACTGTCTCCTAGAGGGGAAAGGAGTGGAGGAGGGATATATTAGGAGTTTGGGACTAACAGATATGCATTACTATATATAAAATAGATAAATAATAAGGACCTACTGTATAGCACAGGGAACTATATTCAATTTGTTGTAATGACCTGTAATGGAAAAGAATCTGAAAATATATATTTCTGTGTATGTATAGCTGAATTGCTTTGCTGTACACCTGAAACTAACATTGTAAACCAACTACACTTTAATAAAAAATAAGAATTTTTTTAAAAGACTGTATAGCCATCAAAGAAAATTATATACACAAGATATATTCATATTATTAAATTTAAAAAGATAGAAAACACTGTCTGTAATGTTTCCATTTGTGGAAAAAAAAGTGCATCATTTTATTTATGCTTCCTTTGTCAAATCAATTCTGAAAGATATACAGGGAAGAAAAAGGGAGACAAGGATGAGAAAGAGACATACTATATACCTGCCTTTGGAATTCTGTACCATGTATATCTGCCTACTTTAAAAAAAAATTTAGTTATTGAAATAGAATAAATGCCTCCATCAAGAGACCTCACCCCTACTCCTCCAGTCTTCCTCCTCAAGTCCAATCCAGTCCATCCCCCTGCATCTCTGCTAGAGATAGACTGCATTTCTGATGCACACTGTAGCTCATTCCTCAGTGTTCTGCATCTATTAGTAAGTTTCTCTCCTACCTGGAACACACTCCTTCGCCCACAGCCTGCACTTACAGATTCAACTCCAGTGTCACTCTATCCAGGAACCTTCTCTGACTATCCTGATCCTCATTATGCTTTCTCCCCTCAGGAATGGGATGTTTGTGACCTGGGCCTCACAAATGAGTATATGATTCCATTTGTTCTATATTGCTGGCTTTTACTTTGTGTGGATTAGTCTTATCTTGGGAATCAGATAGTGAAGTGTCTTGACAGCAGGAAGGTGACATGATTGAAATGTCTTTGTACCCTTGACACTGCCTAGCTTAGGACTGAGCACAGACTGATGGCTCACCATGCCAGCTGGGTAAAGGACTAGATGCTGGAGGAAGAACCAAGAAGCATCTTCAGAGATAGTGAGCCCAAGAATTTTTTGGCTATGAGACCACTGTCACCAGGGCAAGACTCTCTCAAGGAAATCCAGAAATTCTGAGATACTGGAGTCCATCACAGTATCCACAGACAGCCAAGCAGGTAACAACATCTAAATCAATAGTCAAGGTGTAGGACTGATAGGTCCTGGGGCGGACTGGAAAACACCTGACATGTCTAAAAGTTACCAAAATCCAGGAAAAAAAAAAAACTCAGGTAAACATTATATATCCAGGGTAGATAAGCAGGTCTATGAGTACCAATTAGTTTGTGACCCTTAGTTGGAAGTAGCTATTCATCTCTACAGAAGTCATCTTCCTGAGCAAGCAGAATGCTGTCACATGGGTAATTGTGCTTTAAAACACAGAACTTTGGATAGCGCTCCAGAAGTGAACCAAATTCATGTGCCTCCATAGAAGGCAGTGTTTATAATCTCTTCCCACCACACAGAATGGAGACTTCCCTTCCTCCACATATTTAAATTTAAAAATAAAGATTTTGCCTTTCCCCACCATTTCAGCCATGGTCCCCTTCATACACCTCTGATTTCCCAATACCCACTGCCTGTAACATCAAAGCTCTCCATTCCCAGGCCATAACCAGGCTCTGCCGTCCCTAAGCTCATATGTGCTTCTCATATATACTCCCAGTACAGGCGGGGGACTTGATAAGAGTTTCCTCTGTCCCAAGCACTCTTCCTCAAAAGGTGCCTTGTGTCCCTTAACACTCAGTTTTTGGGGGATGGGTGACCAGACAGCTGTCTTGAAGGGAGAGCTGAGCCATCCAGCTGGTGGAGGGTGTGGAGAGTGAAGACAGTGAAGACATTGCCTATGAGCAGCACCTTCAGTCCTCAGAGCCAGACACCCTTATCTACAGACTGAATCACCACATGGGCTTCCGTAGACAGGTAAAGGTCTTTGACACCGCACCTGCCTTGTGAAACAGGAGGGCTTTGTGATGCAGTCTGCTGGCCTGGTTCCATCGTCTGTGAGGTGGAAACGACAAGGCATAGCATGGGAAGGCATTAGGCACCAGTACCCTAAATGCCTACATACAGGGATGGTTGGTCTTCTCATGCTAATGAGGTTTAGACCATGCTGAGCCCAACTTTTGTTCTGTGGGATCTAGGGTATCCCTTATATACCTATGGCTACATCTTTATTATTATCCTAATTATCTGGCAGGTGAAAAAGAGTTACCATGGATTAACGTTGGAACCTAAAAGGAGCTGCTGCTGGGTAGGGAAACACTATGACCATGACTGAACTAATTAAGCCTCAGATAAGATATATGCAGTTATTCTATAGTACTTTTCTTCTCGGAGCCTAGAAATAATTCTTTGTCAGGCCATCCCCACAGTGTATTCTAATTGAAAAATCAAGAATCTCTCTATCTGGCCTGGGTTGAGTCCTAGATAAAATGGAATCTACTTCATTGGATCATTTCTGTCCTTCCAAAATGGGGGATTTTTCTGATAGGTGGACTTAGTAAGCAAAAGTCCTTGGCTGAGAACCACTAACTATTTGATCAGTTCCATTATTCCTCCTGTATCATGCTAAGCCCCCTGAAAAACTTGTCCTGGGAAAGATGACAGGAGGTATGGAATATGGAGAGCCCTGAAGTAAGCACAAAAAGTAGCAAAATGAAATGTTCAGGTGAAAGAGTGGAATATAGGAAGGAAATATAGTAGAGTGTATAAAATACAGACAGCTATATAGAAAGGGACTGGGAAATGTATGTTTCCTTTGTTTCATTTGGGATATGAAAAAGAAAATGGTGTCCCAGCTTCACACTAACTCTTTTGTCTTTAAGCATCACCGAAAAGTCAGACAAAGGGCTAGAGATGCAGCATCAAAAGGTAAAGTCCTAGTCTCTGCTCTGACACCCCTCCATGGTGGGCAAGGTTCCCATGAACCCTGTCCCTCAGTGACCCCTGGTGCCAGGAGCCAGGTGCTCTACCATTGAAGGCTCCAATTCCCCAAATTGACAAATTCTCCCAGAAGAATTTTTGGGGTGGGAAATCAGACCCTGGGAATGTTCCAAAATTTTCCAGCTTACCCTCAGGAATGAAGAATGATGAAGTAGGAGAAAAGTCCTTAACTGTGTCATTTACTAGTTCTATGACCCTGTGGAAGTCACTTCGTCTCTCAGTCTTGCTACCATGAAATGGGCATCTGATGATCCTGCCTCACTTACAGTGTGGTTGTAAAGATCAAACGAGATCAGGTCCAGGAGAGCACATCATACCTGGTTACGTTGTACACAGGCGTGCCTTAACAGCACTAACTGCTGGGGTTTGCAGTCTCCTCACTCAGAGGACTTCAGCTCCCTATAGGATGTGCCTGAACCCTCTCCTGCTCCATGTAACACTGTCTCCTGGTTTCTCAGCTAGGAGACTTTCCCGGGAAGAAGCTGAGAAGCCGTGGGAGCTGCTCTCTGTCATGAGAAGGTGATTTCTTGCTCTTTACAGTCTCCCAACTCCCAGCCTGGCCTGTGAACATTTCTCTGGTTGGCCTGGGGCAGAGTTGGGGAGAAGGATAATGGCTGGGAGGAAGCCAGACACAGTGGAGCTTGGAGCACTGGCCAAGAGGGTTGCCAGGGCAGAGGGAGATCAGAAATTTCAGGAGAGAGTTTTCTAGTTCTGCTGTGGGCTAGGCTCACAGTGGTCCTGGAATTCAGGATTTCACTAGTGTATAGTTCATAAAAGACTCTACATGGGTTTGCTCTCAGCAGCAAGGTAAGTTATAGTCAAGAGAATGGATAATTAAGTGCATAAATAAGTCGTCATTTTAATATCCTTTTTACAGCAATACTCTTTTAAAGGCAGACCCCTGGACCTTGCTGACATTACCTTTCTGGTCCTGTCTTCAGGGAGGCCAGTTCCTGGGACAGCCGTCAAACAGAAGCTTGTCATATTATCCCCTTCTTAATATCTCTAGAGAATGGGAATGGACTGCCAAGAGATACTGTGTACCCTGTAATCCCCAGAACACAGAGTTCCCACAATGACCACCTTTTCCAGTTTTGAAATACTGAATCGCAGGCTGCAGCCTCAGCTCCAAAAGAGACTGACTCCAAGTTCTAGCTGGTGATGTTCCTGGTGCTGCCCCATCAGCTAACCACTGGCTCCCCCATCTGCCTGGTTGCCTTCTCCTAGCTCAGCTTCTCAGCACAAGTCAGCAGAGAACCCACCCACCTCCCAGTCTCTCAAGGCTCTGCACTCCTGTCAGTTGTCTGAGACCTTGCCCAGTAAGCCCCAGGGCCTCAGCCAAGCCCACCATAACTTGCCAAATGGCATTTCCCTAGGAGGAAAAAAGTAGATGAGTAAACACCCAGCAGGTGCAGGCCCCAGGGCTTACAGGGCTAGGGGAGGAAAGAGGCAAATGTTGCTCCATCAGTAACCAACAGTTGCCATGCTTCCCTTTCCAGCCAGGGCTGGCTTCCTCAGGAGGGGAGTGTGCGGCAGCTCCTGTGTGCAGACCCTGCTGCCAAATCTGCAATGCCATGGTGCTGGAGATTCAGCAGCTGGTGGTGGGTGAGAATACCCTGGTCTCCCCAGCTTCAGGGGGGCCATCGCAGGGCTCCTCTTGTCTAGAGATTTTGTCCACATCTAAAGTGTCTTTTAAGCAGAGTATAGAGCATCGTTGCCCATGCTCCAAAGACTTTTCACTTCCACCTGCAACCCTCACAGTGTCACAGAAATCCCTAACCCAGTCAGCTGCCCAGTCAACTGGTGCAGTCAGCATCCATGATTACTGGGCTGAACACCTCAAACTAAGGCAGGGATTTCAAGTGCCAGAGGTGCCCAGGGGCCCAGAGACTATGTTTTCATCAAGGCTCAAAGAGCCTCAGATTTCAGTGAACCTGCAGATGATGCAGAGCAACTCCAGCCTTGCCTACGGGAACCAAGGCCAGCAGTCCTTGAATTCCCAGGGGTCTCTGCTGACCCTGAACCAAGAAATCATTACCTTGACACATCCTGTGGCCTTGCATATGGTCACTGTCCTCCCTGCCCACCTGCCATTCCTCAGTCCTGAAGTCCTGAGGCTTCTTGAGGTACATGTGAAAAAAAGGATGCATTTCCAGAGGTGGGGGCTCCCCAGATTTGTAGAAGAGTCTCTAAGGCAGTTTATGCCAAATCCACCATTATTCTACCAATCTGTACATAACCAACCAGTTTCTTTCATCCAAAATGATAGTTTTCAGTTCTCTGTTGAGAAATTTGGGACCACTTCATACCAGAACTGGGGTTCATGTATGGCCAGCCAGCCCACCCAGGCCTTCTGGGTTTCTGAATGGTCCATTATGGACCCAGAACAAAGACCCCACTACCAGCAAATCCCAAACCATACGGCTCTTGCCTTGTCCTCTCCAGCCCTTAAAGAATTAAATGGCCTCTATCTCATGCCTGGGCAACCAGCTAATGACTCAGTGGGCCGTGTGCAGCAGATATACAGCCAGCTATTTTGTGGCCTCCCTTCTCTGCACAGTGAGTCCCTGGTTGACACCTTCTTGGGTTCTCAAGGCTTCTCCATGAATGGGAGCATGTCTAAGCCCCACTTGAAAGATCCTTTTCTCTTCAAGGAGCTCTCCTTCCTCCCTCTAATGCCTAAAACTCCAACCTGGTCAGCTCCACCCTGTTCTCCATCTTCCCCAAATTGGATCGCTCCACTAACCACCAGCAAGCTCAGATCAATATCCCATTTCTGACTCTCAATGAGTATGAAGCCTTGGAGTGGTACCTGCTGCAGAAGCAGCTCCAGCTTCAGTGGGGCCTGCCAGATGTTTTCCAGAGAGATCAGCACACCAAGAGTCCCATGCAGCATGAGCCCTGTGAAAAAGCCCAGTCTTCTGAGACTGAGAAAACTTCCTGGCCAGGGCAGCCCATCTCAGTCCTGACAAGGGAACTACTCTTCCCAGATCATGCCAGTAGGCTGCTGGAATTCCACCTCCAGAGGCAGTTGATTCACCATCGCTGAGGCCTGCCCCAGAAGATCCAGCAGTCCATCCAGTTGCTCCTGTCCCCCAGTGACCAGAGGACTCTGTCCTGGAGCAGCACAGCCCTAGACAATGTGAATGTCCCCCAACCTACAGCTCTAGAGGGCACTGGGGTTGGCGACCCATTCCCAGCCATCATGGACCCAGAGTCAGCCCCCATGCCATGCTTGTTTGTCCAGACTAAGGCAAAATTACAGAGCCACATCAACTCCAAATGTGGGCAGATTCACCAGCGCAAGGTTCCTGTCTGCATATGTGGCTCTTGGGAGTGCAGAATTCCTGGGGGCCTGGAAGTAGCTCCCTTCACCAGCATCCCAGAAAGCAAGCCCCGGGAACTACAGGCAGCAAATGACCCAGACCTACAACAGAAAGTTACACCCTGGATGCCAGTGGTCCTTGCTCAGCAGCAACAAGCCTTACCAGATGCCATCACAGGATATCCTAAGCAGCCCCAAACCCTGTCCAAGGGAGCCATCGAGAAACTGGAGGCAACTTTACGGCACAAGTATCTGGCCTTCTTGTCAGGGCTGCCCACTCTTTATTATGTGGCTCTCTCCAGGGCCTTGGATCCAGCAATCACTTGTCAAGCTATGATCCCAGAGACAGTGCCTGGGCCTGCTGAATTCCCCACAGAACCTCTGGCTCAGATGACCTCACCTGAAAAGCAAGTTCTAAGTCCTGGGCCAGGCTTTCAGGATGCCAGCGAGGCTTGTGCAGACACTGCAGATGAATTCCAGACTGAAGTGCAGGTGGAAGGAATAATCAAGATGGTGCCTCTAGAAAGCCAGACAGAGCCTGCCAGACCCTGCTTAGTCACGGAACCTGTCTTGGCCAAACTAAATTTCCATCTGAGAAAGAAGATCCTAGAGATACAACTGGGAGTTCCCATAAGGGCAAGAGAGTCCAGGGAACAAACTGTAGCAATCACAGAGAACATATGCACACAGGAGTCTCCTGGGAATCTAGACAACCAAGGAAGAACACTGCTCCAGGAACTCCCCATCCCACCAGATATGCCATGTGCCCCAGATCCAGAATGGCTCCACTTCAAAGAACAGCTGGCCACTGAGTTAAAGGCAGTGCGTCAGAAACAGAAGCACCCCAGTCCTAGTGAAGTACCCCATGGTTCTATCCACTGGACCTCCAAGATCTCTCAAGCCAGCAGGGACATGACAGAGGCCCAGATGCTTTGTTTTCAGCTGGAGGCTGAAACCCCAGCCTGGAGGAGGCCTGGAGCCCTGAGCCCCAAAGCCCTGACAAAAGCAAAGACTCAGCCCAAGTACCCAAGCTGGCAGAAAAGAAAGGCAAATCCAAGCCAGCAAGGGACCACGGAGAAGGGGATGCCGGGTTTGCACTCTCCTCCACAAGAGAAAAAAGCCACTCAGCTGAAGCCCAGAGGCCAGAAGGGATGCTTCTCAACAGGACACCCCATAGCGCCTGGCGACGGAGACATTGCTTTCACTTTAATGCTCCCTGTCAGCACAGTCCCCAGCATCGCCCTCAGCTTAAACTCCCAGAGCTACCTCCTGCAGGCCCTGGGGGGAATGACTCTGAGAAGAATGACCTGCAAGACAGTCAAGCCAAGCGCAATGTCATCTGCAAATCAGCAAGGATTTCCAAGAATGCCCAGCCCATGGTGCCCCAGGCATCACAGGGCCAGCCTTTTCTGGGCCAACCCATTCTGGGTAAGCCATTGCACAGCCAAACTCTACAAGGTCGGGTTTTGCAGGGGCAGGTGATGCCAGGTTGTACCCACAAGAGGCCCGGCCTTCCAGAATCTGGCTTGAGAAATAAGATGAAATTTTTTCTGCACTGTTTTAACCCCAAGACAAAAGGCAAAGGGCAGGAGAAATCCATGTCCTCCACATCTGAGAAAATGGCCAACATGAAAAGAAAAAATGTAGAAAAGAGCCTGGGTCCAGCCAAAAGTCCCAAGGGGCAAACTAAGACAGAGACGACAAGAGGGAACCCCAAGGCCCAGTTTCCCCCTACTGAGAAGCAGGTGGGCCTGGCTGTCTTGCATGTTCCCCACTCCCCAGACAGTAAGCTCCGGCACCGCTCCTGACCCCATCAACCCCACTCTGCCTCAGTCCTGGGCACCCCCACCACTGCCCTCAGCACTGTCCTCGAATGGCTTATGCCACCCAATCAGGGAAACCACCCCAACTCTCAACTCTCACCTCAGAGGGAAACACTGGTCTGCTCAAGAAGACCCAGAACAAGCAAAAAACTCTGTAGTGTCTGCAATGTCTGCATCCCTTGAAGAGGACTGCTACTATCATTTTCATTAACGTGCAGGTGGGCAGTGCCACCCAAAATACACTCTATATCTCTCAGCAGAGAGTTGTCTGCCTGCTCCTTCTCTCCACTGTGGTGTGTTCAGGGAAGGCATAAGGGAGGCATAAATGTCCTTCCTATCTAGGGAAGGAGCTTTAACCCATACTTAAGCTGGGTCAGCATTCCACACAACACACACACATACACACACTGGACTGTGAATAAAGGGATTTGAGCAGAGAAGGAAGGCCCTTGTCTAAGGTACACTGAAGGTAAAAGTCAGGTTTGAATTCTATCATGGTGTCCTTGGGCCCAAAGGAGCACTGTAGACATGAGGATAGTATTGTCAAGAAGGAGTAGCCAGGAACCCCACAGGCAAAATTTACTGATGACATCTATATATGCCCACAGTCTGGAGAGGAGTGCCACTGATCCAAACTTGAGGAGGTGCTTTGTGTTTATCAACAGCATACAGCTAATACAACTAATGTCAAAAGCAAATGATAGACTTTCCGCTCTCTACTCCCTGTTGGCTATTGGTTAGATCCCTCTGGAGAACTTGCCTGGAAGGCTGCTGGAGCTCTCTTGCCTGTATCCCACCTCCACCCTCCACTGCTTATCAGCTACATGGAATGAGTGACACCCAGAATGAAGATCACAGTAGGACAAGGAGAGGGGCTGGTCCCCCACCCCCAAGGGTAGGCAGGGAGAGAAGCAGGGAAGGAGAGCATGTAGATGGGGATCTGAGTACCTGGAATAGAAACTAACATGTTCCTGAAGAGAGCATGGTAAGAGAAAAGGCTGGTTGGCTATGTACTCCAAAGAATCTTGAGTCAGGAAGCCAATCCAATACCCAAGTGCTTTTAGGGGATGGAGAGGAATAAACTGAGTTTTGGTCTGTTGTCCTAGTGTGAGCAGTGAGTTGAGCCTTGTTGTCTAAAGGCAATGCAAATTAATCCAAAATTTCTGAACACTCGCCCTCCACCCCACAACTGTTCCCCTGTGTCAGGGATTGGTATAACTATAAGCCCATGTTTTTGCTCAGCCCAAACACAAAGTCAGTCACTGTGTTCCAATCTTGATATATCTCATCTTTGCCCCCTTCTTTCTATGTTTACTGCCTCTGCTTGTTAGATTACTCATCCATTCTTGCCTAAATAATACAATAGTGTCTCATATCCTCAAGCTTAGAATAGTGGATGGTGCATAATAATACGTTAACAGTACTGAATCCAAAGTCTGGGTTGGGGAGGCAGATGAATCATTAGTATGATGAGTGCTATGGAACAGAGAATCCTGCCACAGGATTACTGGGGTACTCAGCTGATGAAGACCCCAGAAAGGTCACATTGAAAATAACCTTGAGTATGGTGCACACCTAACTTATACAGTGTTCTTTATCAATTATATCTAAAAACTAGAAGAAAAAAACTTAAAAAAATAAACTTGAGAAGTGTCATACATTCAATTAAAATATTTGCTTACTTACTGTATGCAAGGTACTAGAGCAAACATAACAAAGACAGGACTTAGACCAATGGAGCTCATGATTATATGGAAGCCTGTCTAGGCTCACACGCCCAAATTGTTTAATCAACATAAATACCTGAATGTCCAATATTCAACTCAAATTACAGAACAGTGAACCCTTGATTCTCTGCCCCAAACTATCATCTAAATACACGTAAAAAACATGCTTCAATCACAGTATTCACAACATCAGTTAATAGCGACTCTGTCTTTTCAGTTGTTCTAGACAAAAACATTAGTGTCATCCTTGACATTTTTTTCCTAACCATGTATGTCCAATCCATCCTGTTGTGTCTACCTTCTGAAATGAATTCAGAACATGACCACTTCTCACTCACACTGCTGCGATGATTACTGCAATAGCATAATAACTAATCTCCCAGCTTCTGCCTGAGACCATACTTCCAACAGTCTATTTGCAACATAGAAGCCTGATGGTCCACAGGGAAGGTCCTGGCTGTAGATGATTAGATAGGACAATAGATTAGATGATGATGATGATGATGAAGAAGAAGAAACAGAAGAAGGAGGAGGAAAATGAGAAGGAAAAGAAAGATAATAGAGATAGAGAGTGAGAGAGATGTAAAAACATATGACTGGGTAAGATTACCAAGGAAATTAATGTAAATGAAGGAGACATCTAAGGGCCAGGCTCTGGGATACACCAACATTAAGAAATTGGAGTGAAAAGTAGGAACCACTAAGCAGAGACTAAGAAGTAATAGCCAGTGAAGTAGGAGGAAAACCAGGAGAGTGTGGCATACTGGAGGCCGAGAGGAAAGTATTTCGGGAGAAAGTGATCAACTGCATGAAAAGTTGCCAATCAGCCAAATAAGATGAGGACTCAGAGTTAATTATTAGATTTAACAACACAGAGATCATTTATGGCCTTGAGAAGAACAGACTCAGGTGAGAGGTGGAGGTAAAGGCATGACTGGAATGGATGAGAGAGAGAGAGGAAGAGCAATTGGTGAGAGCAAGTATCATCAACTGCTTTAGGGCGTTTTTTTCCACAGTTGCAGAAAAATAAGGAAATAGCATCAAGAGGGTTTTTAAAGGTGGGATGTTGGATGTTGATGGAAAAGATTCCTTCAAGAGGGATAAACTAAGACACAGGCAGAAAGGGACAACTACCAGAGCAATGTCACGGTGCAGGAGGAACAGAATGGGACTGAGTCCCCAGGTTGAGGGTTTGGTCTTGGCTAAAAGCACAGATGCTTCACTGGTGGTAGGTAGAGAGAAGGTCACCATAATGAGGAGGGATTTTGGGTACCATGAGAAAAACAGTTTCCCTACAATTAAGAGAGCAGGGCCGTAAAGGGGTGAATGAGGAACAGGGAAGGACCGTGGCTGAGGGAAGGGGCTGATATAGAGAGCCAAAGTGAGAGATGAAGAGGAATTCTGGAAGTTACCTTGGCAAGGTTTTTTATTAGGGCCTAAGAAGTTGGTAGCGGCATGTGAGCCCAAGTGGGCAGAAAAAAAGAGTTTAAGTTGGTGATCACATGTGTGAAGCATGTGTTCTTGGAATACAGGGAGAGAGATGTCAGAGAAAGCCTTAGATACACAGAACATGAAGAGGATAGGGCTCGAGACTGAGAAAGAGGGCAGGTGTGGCATCCTAGTA